TTGTCTGGGCGGGCTTCTAGCTGGGGCCTGTGCACACTTGGGATGGCATCTGGGTGTGCCTCTGCCTGGGGCCTGCCCCTGTAGTAGCTCTTGTCTGGGAATGCCTTTCACTGAGCCTGTGCTTCCAAGCTGCTGGGGTTGGGGCGAGGCCCTAGCTAAGACATGCCTGCAACCACACTGCTCTGGTCCCTGTGGGCTTTTTGCTGGGATCTGCATGCAATTATGAATCTGGAATGGATGAATTTTTGTGGAAGAACTACAGGTATATTTTCATATCTATCCTTCCCTATTTCCTTTATAGGGGTGTTTGCATTTAGGCCCATTAGCACCCCACAAAATGATGCATTGCATGATTCATAAACATTGAGCACAATCACTCTCTTTTTCTTTTTTTTTGCATTTCAATAATTTTATTGAAAAGTATATCTCAGTACCAAACATAAAGATAGTTGGTTAGTTTACCTCTGCCAACTCAAAATTAATACTGATGTTTTCAAAATATTGAAATATATCAGCCTTATGGTAAAACTGAAGGTATCCACAAAACATGGTTTACAAGAAGTTAAAGGTAGAATATGCTGTGGTTCTTTGGTTCATTTTTCAATGCTTAGTTATCTGTAACATGATGTCCAAATTGGTTACATCCATTCTGGATGGACTTAGGCTTCAGGCTGCACTAACTTTTTACAACACTAACAATATATGTACATTTCCTTATATTGATTGGGTCATATGGAGAATTCCAAACACTACCTCAGCAATCTCATAATTATGGTGGTGCCTCCTTACTTTTCTTAAGACACATTATGGACATTTGTGAAAGTATATTCTATTCCTTAAAAAAGCAAAACAAAACAAAACAAAACTGAAAGCAATGGCAGTTTTATAGAAACAGTCCATAGTAAAACCTGGAATGCTTTATCTAGCCAGAACTTAGGGTAAAGCAAGTTTTCAGAGTGGTAATTGATTTTGACTTAACTATGTAATATAATAGAACATATATTTTTTAAATGGAACTAGATAAGACTGAGGAAGTAGATTTTGTATAGAAATTTTTATCACTGATACAAATGTCACCTGTTTTTTAGAAGAAACATTAAAGATAGATAGCTCAATGAATATGCCAAACTTAGTAGGTCTATATTTTTGGCTTAATGCAAAATATTTTTAATTTTAAATGTAATCCTCATATAGCAATAACATTCTCATCTCTGAACTATCTATTACTTGCATTATGGGTGCCAAGAAACCATTACATTGTCTAGAATAAAACCTTATTATGCCTTTAAAAAGTGCATGTGTGAAATGTTGGTTTTGATGTAAACCTCATAATTTAAAATTTAACATTTAAATAAAGTCGGTTACCATTTTCCAAATCACATAAATATAGTATATTGATACAGTATAGAAAGTTAAATTAATGTTAGAAATGAAGATTCACAGTTCACCTCTTCAGGCTTGTATTGTTTCACATTTTTGTCTTTAGGTTTACAGATGAATTCAAATCTAAACAATCTTACTACAGCATTAATTAGGCAGTTTTCCAAAGATGGAGAACATCATACTAATCTAGTTGTGATGTTTTGAGGGTTATAATTTATTTTGTTTTTTTCGTTGTACCAGGGATCGAACTCAGACCCTTGTGCTTGCGAGGCAGGCGGGGTGGCACCACTGAGCTAAATCCCTGGCCCAAGGGTTCATAATTTAAATCCATTATAACATTAAGGAATCCATAGTTCAGGGTTGTGGAGAAAGGCTTCAAAGAAATTTTTTTGTTGCTGCAGTAATACTATTTATGTAAAGAACAAAAACCCCCAACTTATCAAAAGTTTACCTAAATACTACTAGCTGTTAAAAGTAAATTTTTCATGCCCAAGTTTCATAATCATATGTGGCTGTATTAAATATTAACATTCAGTTTTGAGCAGGAAAAGATAACTCATTACTGTAAGTTAATAAATTTAGATGGCAAAATTATATAGAATATATGCAGTGACTGAATTTGTTTTTTATGAATATAATTACTTTCTATTATTCCAATTGCAATAGCAGTATGTTGAGACATACTAGCAATTTTCAGAAACCCAAAAGCGATCATCTGCTTTATATTACTTTTTCTTTAGGTGTAACATTCAAGTTCATAATGATTCTGCTTATAAGCTAACAATCTCCAATTAGTTCATATATGGATCAAACTTTTGGTCCTATTTTAACTTTAAATGAGCTGGAGCTTAGGGCAACAGTTAGCAAAATGTGCAATTAAAAAAGCATTACTTCAGCACTACCTTAAAATTCAGATTATTAAAGAGGACGTTGTTTTCTAAGCTGCTAATTTAATGAAATGGTTAACATATGTATCAGAGATTGGAAATTCCTAAGGGTTTTTTTTAAGTTCTTTTGAGACACGGTCTTGCTGTCTAATTTAGGCTGAACTTGAACTCACTGTGTAGCTCAGGCTGGCCTCAAACGCATATCACAATCATTCTGTCTCAGCCTCCCAAGTGCTAGGATTACAGGCATGCACCACCATGCTCAGCCCGTCGGGTATTGTACCTTATATATAGCAAATGCCTTCAAACGTTAGCTGACTAGATTGGAGATACCAGTTTTTCCCTTTTGCTATTCCAACTCCAGTTGGTATATTTTGAAGATAATATTTCAATACTTCAATTGTAGGAGAAAATTATACAATTTTCTCTATAAAGAGAATAACAAACAAAATTACCAATTAAGAAACCATTTCAGGAATTGTTGGAAGGTGAGTTATTCTATAGTAACTATCCTTCAGTTTCCATGCAGTACACCCAGAAATAATCCATTTCAACTTCTGAACATTTGGTTTGGAACACTTGTTTTTTGAATATTCAGTTAAACACTTGGATATAAGCTCTTTCCAGAAGGTCAGATCTCTTCCATTTATCTTGGAATGTTTCTGAAGACATTCTACTCCTGTTAACTCTACACACTTCTGTGATTGGATCTCCAATACAATGACAGACAAGGCTAACACAGAAGGTTTTGCTTTGGAAAATAGGATCCTGCAGTGACATGCCTTAAGCTGAGCTTCTAGTCTTTCAAAATTTAGGCTAGTTTTCCTTTCAAAGGGCAAGCTCTCCTGAATGAGAGAATAATAGAGTTGTAGAAGTTGAAAAGCAGTGGTAGCTTTGACCGTCCAACCCACCTTCTCCAATAGTCTTTTCCATTCACATCAAATCTGAAACTGTGAACCAATACTGACTTATTCGGATCAAGTCAGTTGCCAATGGGACATTTCTTTCCTCTTCTATTGATTTTACTGCCAAATAAAAGTAGCTGAGTCCAGCACCCAAGGTGCTTGTGCTGTACCTTCATTTTAGACAGGAATCTGTCCAGTAAATTCACAGCTAGAGAAAATGTCTCTGTATCAAAGCCAAAGAACTGAGTTAGACTAAGAAGATCTTTCACTTCAAAGTCCCTCAGTCTTGCAGTCATTCTAAGGCCATTATCATGTGCAGATTCAATTAGTCTCAAGCCGCAGACCTTTGGCTGACATCTAGGCTCCTGTTCCAACAGGGTATTCAGCTGGTGTAGCAGTTTCTGGGAGTCAGTTGTTGTCAGGACTTCTGTCATCTTGCTAGAGACTGCGGCTCCTTGGCGTGATCACCCTCCCCGGGCCTCCTCTCACCTCACCCCACGGTATCGGATACGAGAGGCCTAGGAGGCGAGGACACTCGAGGGCAGGAGGAGAGAGGCCCAGGGAGGGAGAACTGTCCTGGTGGAGGTTTCCACAGTGCGGCCAAGACTACACTGCCCTCCTCCTGGTCGGACCACTGCCTCATTCTCTTTTTCATTGTTACCATTTAAAATTTTTCATTAGTACATGTTTGTAGTACATTCCTTGTATGGAGTCGGTCTATGTACCTAACACGTCTGAATTCCTTTTTCATCCCCTTTCCTTCTTCTTCCATCCCTTCCCTACATGTCTTTCATTATTGCCATTTTAATAGATAAATATATATATGTATACATATTTAAGAATTAATCTTTATTATACTTAGCTTAAATGTTTTTCATGAATTTATTTGTAGTAAATAAATTTTGATCTACTCAATCATATTTTGTTCTATATTGTGCTGTTCTTGGTTTTACCCAAGGATTATAAAAGTGTTTATAGGCCTTAGTTTTGTAAAGTGGCCATCAATTTAATTTCTAAGTGTGTTTTCCCTCTCTCTCTGTCTCTCTCCTTCTCTCAAGAGAGAAAATAATTCAAAACCCAAAGTAAATTCTAGTTAATTTTTCATTACATGACTTTTCAGGAGATGGGGTCAAAAGGAGCTAGTAGGGCATTCAATTATGTGCTTAAGTGTATTAGAAAGGTCCCGCCCCCCTCAGGTGTACAATATTTTACTTGAGCTTGTTTTTCAAGTGCACTGAAGTGTGACCAAATGTTTTTGGGTACTGCCATTATGTAAAGAAGAGATCCTATCTTGTTAAATATTCCTTCATCAACTTTGCAGTTCACAAAGTTCTGGGCAGTGAGAACCTGCAAGAGCATAGGCTTCAACACTAGACAGAGGGTGGGTGGGAGGCGGGGGCCAGAGGAAAACTCAGGATTGGGGTGTCCGGTTGCCCCTCCCACAGTACGTGAAGAAGTGATTGGTCCACGCTGATTGCTATCTCATGATTTTGGACAGGTCATTTGTCCGGAGGGAGGGGAATAGTATGAGGGGACCTCGGCTCATCTGAGGGCTCAAGGTTCTTGGTCCCACATCACATAGAACTGGGCTCAGTCCTTTGGAAAGTGGAGGAGAACGGAGCTCTAGTTTGGACTAGAGGAAGAGAGACAGGCTTCAATGTCGTTGTGGTTTTAGGTTGGGATAAGAGAGGCTCAGCAAGAAAGATGTCTCTTGAAAACATGGAAGGGAAGCCCAGTGACCTTGGGGAGAGAGGAAGAACCTGGAGCTACACTTTCCTCAGGGTTGTCCAGCCAATGTTTAACCACAGTATTTTCACTTCTGCAGTCTCGCCTGCTGCAGAGCGCATCCGCTTCATCTTGGGAGAGGAGGATGATAGCCCGGCACCCCCTCAGCTCTTCACTGAGCTGGATGAGCTTCTGGCTGTGGATGGGCAGGAGATGGAGTGGAAGGAGACAGCAAGGTGAGCACGGCTGGTGGTGTGCAGTGCTGTCTGGGGACACGGGGCAGGGAGGGATGATGCCTTGCTGCCTTTCTCCAGCCCCAGCCCTCAAGTGGCTGCCGAGGTGGGAGGCGGGGCTGAGGGGCCAGTGGTCCTGTTTACTTTGCCCTTCTACATTGGCATGGCTGTGGGCTGTCTCTTATTTGCCCCTGGAGCACAGCTTCATTGGTCTGTGCTTTCTGAGTTTGATTTTTTAAAGAACGAGAAGTAAATCTCAGTTTATGTGCTATTTAATAATAAAATATTTTATAGAGACGATAAACTCAAGCACCCAAAGATGACGGCCAAGAAATGCATTTTCGCATATCTACAAATGGCAAGTTATCCTGTCTAGGTTATTACCCACTCTCTGATACAGGGTTGGTGTGAAGACAATGTTGATTATAAGACACAGTTGGTGTAATTTCAAGTAAAATATATTGCCTTCTAAGTATCCAGCTAAAAGCAGGTAGAAGGTTCACCTTCTACTTGGAGTTTAGTCTTCAGTTTACTTTTATACTATGTCTTCACTTAATTACACGACATTCGTTTTCTTAGAACTTTGGTTTTATTATCAATAAAGAGTGAATACTGATGTCTACCTCATTCAGCATGTGTATATATGCTATTTAAAATATGTAATGTAGAAATGTCACATACAATACATGTATAGTTGTATCATGAATGTTTATATCCATACATGTATAGATATGTATATAAAGTTTTGCAAATTACTGAGCACTACACAAGCCTAAGTTTTTACGAATTACATGATAGCAAAGCTTTTTCTTATATATACTCAATTACATATTTAGACTAAATAAATCCTCTTCTGTGGCACATACAAATTATATAATATAAAGACTGATATAATACACTTATTGGTCTTTCATTGTCATTAATACATAGAGATTCCAATATACTTTTCTTTTTTAAAATTATTTTAATTTAAAAAAATTATTTAAAATGTATAACTATTATCATTCACTAAACACACATATACAAAAATTAAAATTATTCAAAGAAAAGCAATGCAAGGGAAAAAAACTATAATAATATTCAAATATAATAGAACTCAACCAATGCAAAACTGAAAAGTAATTAAACATTTTTCCACATAATTAAAAAAAAAATCTCAAGCATTAACAAGACATCAGAAGATGTGATTTGTTTTAGAAAGATTTTCAAAACTAATATTGAACAAATAGTAGTCGGGAGAAAAAATTCTAATTAGTAGACTCCACATAGGCCAAATTTTTAAAAATTGAAATTTCAATATAGTCATGTGACACATGATGGAAATAGAATCTGAGAAATATGTTATTAGGCAATTTAATCCATGTGTATCGCAAAGTACCACACAGAGTGCTAATTTCTAAATGCAAATTGCAAAGGTATACATCAATCATTTGTGATGGCCCTTGGTATTATCCAAATACGCAGTTAAACACGAGATACATGAGGCTACCACTGACATAGCAGCGCACTGTTTTATAGTAAACTCTTTTATATAAGTAGGATTATGCTCTAAAGGGTGAAAAGCACAGCATATTATGATAAGTACCTAAAACAGTAACAGTCATTTATCACACTATCGAGTACTGTGTACTATACATAGTTGCATGTGCTTCCTCTGGAAACATAACCTTCTCTCCTTTGATCTCAGTGACTCTTCCTTCCCAACCCACTGATGAGCTCCAGCCAGTCTCTATTTAATCTCTTCCTATAGTTTTAAACACAATCTATATATGGATTCTTTCCAGATTCCAGCCTGTAACTCTGATCTCTCCCCTTCCCCTCCTGCCACCCCGACTCCTTTGAACCTTTTCTTAGAATTTCAAATTATCAGTTACTCATTTTAATCGTTTTGATCCTTAATTACAGTTTCAGTTTCTCACACTAGAGAAACTATTTGGTATTTACACGTGTGTCCTATTTATTTCACTTAAGAGGATGGCCTCAATGTACATCCATTTAGCTGTAAATGTCTCCAGTTTCTCATTCTTTATGGCTGAGTAGTACTCCATTTTATAAAAAAACCACATCTTCTCCCTGCTGGGTATCTTCCCAAAAGAATTAAAAGAATCATCCACAGTGATATATGTTCACCCATGTTTATAGCAACACAGTTTGTAATAGCTAAAGCTTGTAAACAGCCCAAGTGCCCCTCAACTTCAATGTACTTTTCTAAATACAGATATATGTTTTACAGCGTATACTTTAATTTGAGTCAGTTCACTCCAAATAGGCTTTTTGAGTGAATAGTATATATGTCAAGCACTGTTTTAGGTACTGAGAATTTGGCATTTAACAAAAGAAGCACATTCGCAGAGCTCTATATTTTATTGAAAAGTTGCAAATGAGTTCAGGATAATATCTTACCATCTGAGGAACCAATCATTATCCCAACTTTGAGTTTAAGATAAATAAATAAAAAATAAATGAATTTCCTCAGTAAGTGAATTTCTTCTCCTGTGGTAACAGATGGAACAGGATCTATATCTGCCCTTCTACTCAAGATAGGTTGTATTGGAGTTAGAAAGAAGTTGCTATTTTTATCAGTGATAATAAGAGAAGATAAACTCTAGAGAAGCAATTAGTAGTCTTTTTTTCCCTAAATGAATACTTTTTTAAGAGTTGAAGAACTTTAGTTTCATGTACTATACCATTTATAATTAAGTCTCATCAAGTTAATTAGATTTGTTGTAGGTTGGGGCCTCAGACTTATAACGCTTTATAGATTTATGGATTCTAATTTCCACAATTTTGAGTATTACCAAATGTCTTCAGCTGTTTGGTATTTTTAGTACTAGAGAAAATTTGTAAATTAATTCATTTGATGATAGTGGAAAAGCTTTTATTCTTCAAGAATTTCTAGCTAGATTGGCCTTGTAGGCACTTCTACTTTAAAAGTTTAATAGAATCAGGGAATTTCTTATCTTTTGTAACTTTAACCATGGTCTGAAAAGAAAAAAAGGCATTATGTTTTTTTCCTGGCCTTCATAGTAATATTAAGACAAGAGACCCAATTTTAAAGTATTTTATTTGCCATTTGTTGGGTAATTCTCTTTCTAATAGACACCTACACATTCTTCTCCTTGATAACTAATTAACCCTTTCATCTTTTACTTAAAAAGCTCTTGGCAGTGCATTTTTACTCCATCTTTGATGCTCTGTCTTGAAGCTCTTTATTTGCTTTTCCGATGTCTGCCTATGATACAGTAATTGTCTTTTATTCCCCTAAGAATCAGTCATTTGTGTACCAAGTGACTTCTGTACACTTTTAGGCCATAAAGCATCATCCAGAGGAAGGTTTTCAAGGCAAAATCTTCTCCTGGTATCTGTACTTCATTCTTTTCCTTCTTCCTGATGGAAAATATGGGGTGAGACTTGTACTGTGCATGTTCATTTACGTGTTGAGTGATGTTGATGTAGTCTTGGTTTTGTGGCTCACTGTCTTTGTGTTTAAACTTGACTACATCATGTAATCTTCTTAAGCATGAGTTTCCTGTTCTGTAAAATGGTTTGCTTTCTATCCAACACCATGCATAGTTTCTTACTGTAACAATTTATACCTGTGTATACACTGGCATCATCACTGAGACTCTAAGAGCTGCTTTGATTCTTATTTTCATATAAAATTCTGTGAGTAGTTACCACAGAGTAGAATGCAGGGGTGGTTTCCTGCTCTCTGCTTCAGTCACATACGTACTTTACTTTGTTTTCCTTGACTCCTGGTCCCAGAAGGGTGACACAATTACAGTTCATTATGTACTAACCAAGTGTTAAATGCGATGGGCATAAAGTTTCTATTTAAGATTCTTAAAGGTTACCATGGCCTTGAATTCTTCACTATCCTTAAAAGACTATTTTGGGGGAGGGGAAACACATGTGCCATTCTGGTGATATACTCAGCCCTGAAAGACTGTACTGCTGGCAAGGGAGGGCTTGGGAGGTACTGTGTGCCAGGAGGGAGGGAGCTGTTTGGAAAGAAAAAGTGCTTACAAATGGTCTATACTTCATAATTTGTTTTGTGTAGGGCTTGCTGCGATTACTGTTTAATTAACTGTGTTTGTGATATTGTTGCTCTCATCTGGTTTACTTCATTTCACTAATCAGATAGAGTCAGGGACTCTATGCTTGTCTTTTCATTGTGGTGTCCACAGTGCCATAAAGGGCCTGGCTCATAAGTTCTCAGTAAGCATTTGCTGAATGTGTGATTTCTTGAGAACTGATTGCCTTAAAAAATAACTTCTGAATATAATAGTTTCTTAGGAATAATAATTGGCCAAAGTTGAAGTTCTATTATAAATTAGGTCTGTCTTACTGATGGATAGCTACAGAATGACAGACCCAAGGTGTCTAGGACATAACTGATAAAATGCAGAGAGGGCCTATGTTTAAAGTTCCAAACCAGTTCATCAGTGCGTCAATGACGCCTGCATTTATATTTCTAACCTCAACTTCTTTCCTTATTTAACTGGAATTAAATATTTAGAGGAGTATTAGGAGTCTCAAAATTGACATATCTAGATCTGCTGTTCCTATAGATTTTCCTATCTCAATGAACATTTCTCATCTTCTAGTGTGTCTCCCAGAACATTCAGTCTTCCTTGACTCCTGTCTGTTGCTGCACCTGTTATCTGACCAATTGGAACAGTCTCTTTCACCTCACAGATGCTCAGGTATCCGAATATCTCACCATACTTCATACCTGGTTCTGCCACAGCTGCCACCGTCTCTATCTGAGGTCATTTCTTGGTCTCCCTTCACCAGTCTGCTTGCTGAATAAACTGATGTCTTTGACCTTATCTCCTGTTTCCTTCCTTACTGCCTGTTGCTCAGTTGTCTCGGGCTCCCTGGGCAGTCATGCTACCCTGTCAAGGCTTTGTGCTTGTGTCCCTCTGCCATGTGGCTCATTCCTCACTTCCTTCAGGTCTTTATTTGAATGCTCCCTTCTCAGTGACTGTCCTGTGACTGAA